AGTACATTTTTCATACTTATTTTAGCATGAATTTATCTGTGCACTGAAAAATATATGTTCACATTTTACTGCAAGTAAAGGGTTTTTTCTGTATGTTGCAAAACAGAATCCGGGACCTCCAAGGTATTGTGTAAAACTTAAACTTCTATGTCTTATTTTATGTCCTGGTTTCCCATCTATTTACCTCCCAGAAATAATAGCTTGTTTTAACCACAGCAGTGCTTCATCTGACCAGGCCACAATGAATTTACCAACCACATAAACTCACTAAACAGCAGAAACTCATAAACCCCCTGTGAGGAGAGTTGAGTAGCTCTCTCAATCCTATCCCTGGTGGGTGGGAAAAAATTTACCAATTTAGCAATGTGGCCATAAAACTAAAAACTGACTGGCAGGGTCACAACTAAATAAAGACATTATTATTTTCAATTACCTTTTCTTTCAAGTATCAGGGTTATTATAATACTCTTCCTTAGTTGGATTGCCTGAGCAGCACAGAGCTTCCGCAACTAAAGCTATTTTTCTTTTTTCCTTTTTACCATATTATTTATCTTTGCTTAGCAGGCTTAATAAGTGGTGCCCTAATGTAAAGACTAGAATACTGCTTTCTAACTGCTCATTAAATTATATCCTAAAATAGAACATAAGTTTACTGTGCAAAATCACCACACATTATCAGTCCTCTAGCTATAGGCCTCCTCTCCCTTAGCTGAGGAAAAACAAAACAAAACCTTTTAACTTACTACCAAAGGTCATTAAAGATCAGGGCCAACAGGTCTAAATTAAGAATGAATATATTCAGAACGCCTCCCTACTGTCAGTACCAGTTTTTGTTATAATGGCTCCAAAGCTTTAAAATGTGACAATGGGGATATACTTCCCAAATAAGTTATTTCCTCTGAACAAACCCTTTTGAAAGCAAGCCATCGCTATGGGCAATGTAGGTTCCAAAGGATGAGCGCTGGTCACACTTGGAAGGGTTAAGTGCCTGCAAGGCCAAAGGCAGCACACTGCAAAAGAAAAGTTGCTTTAGTAAGCTCTGAAAGGTTTCTAACAAGTACCAAATACTTGTTGATCCCTTCACAATAAACACCAGCAGGATTGTCAGGCTCCTTTCACTGTCTGGGGAGATGCATTTACATACTGCACCCAGTAAGAACAGCTTGTTGGTCTACTTTATAAAAGTTGAGTAGCTAGAAGCCTCATTCAGTATCTCCCGTTCAAGTGACTGAAAGAAGATGCAGTTGAAACAGTGAAGTCTCCCGGCTGGCTTGGGCAGCACAAACACCGTGCACAGAACACTTGGAGTAGTTCATGCACAAGACAAACCCACCTGAATGGACGAGAAACACTGTCTGTTGCCATGGCAGCCTGATCTAATTACATGAGTGATCAAGGCTGGAGTAAGTGCACCGAAAACCTACACCACTGACACCTATCTACATGATGTGAAAGACAGGCAGCCAGGAGCTTCAGGGGAGCCCTTCGACCTTTGCTTTACTAGAAGGTGGCATGCAAGCCCATTTATTTGCGGAGCTGCTAAAATATTGACGGATGCATACACAGTTAGAGGGCAATCAGAGGAGATTAAATGCCACAGCATTAGCCATTATGGTGCAATCCCTTTCCAAGAGTTCATGTGCAGGATTTTCTCGTTCTTGTCTCTGGTGGTTTCCTCAGGCATAATCTTCATTCCAAAAAAACAAAAAAATCTCCAAGTATCAAACTACCTTTACCAATCAAATAAATCAGAGGGTGGGCTTAACAGGGGCTTCTAGGAACTGCAGGGCTCCTCAGAAACCCAAATAGGAATTGCTCAGCTAACACTGTAGAAAAAGTAACTAGCTATGCCTAAAAATAACCATCAAGTAGCTACCCACTGCTGTGTGCGATATAGAACGATGATGTTTAAATATTAAGAACAGCCTGTATTATAAAACACAAATGTCATTGAGATGTGACTACTAGATTGCCAAAGGAGAACTTATTTGCATACACACATTCCTGTGCCTGCACGACAGGATATGCAGGGAGAATGCCACTCTAAGGCATTAGTTTTTATTCTGTGGGTGTAATAGGGTCTTCTAATTTTGCTAATTGTATCCTGTGGATCTCACGAGGAAGCTAAGAATCTCTTCGGGGATAGAACCAGTTTGGAGGAGTCCCTACTGCACAGCATACGGTAAACAAAATAAAAATAGCTTGCCGTTCTTGTTAGCCACATCGCGCATTATATAACCAGCTTCTTCCGACTGGCTTTTTTTTTTTTATTTTTGCCCTTACTACACTTCAGCAATTTCCCAACCTTGCCAAGTATTTATATTACCCTCTTATCTGCAGGATTATATACCAAGAAAGCAAAACAAAACAGCAGCCACAGGATCGAACCGAACACCATCCTCCTTAGAAACTGATTTTTTTTTTTTTTGGTTTTGGTTTGTTTTCTAGCAGAGTCTCGATCACCACCCTACTTCCACCCCCCACTAAGGTTCTTGCTCAATCTCCCTAGAAAACCTGAATTGTTCCATCGCTTCCAGTCAGCCCTCTACGTGGTCTGAAATAAAATGAAAGCGCAGGCCACAGAGTTTAAGAAGGCAGCCTGGGGGCGGGGGGCTGAGGAAGGGTCGGGGCGCTGCAGAGTCAGCCAAGTGGCCGTGAAGGGTCCCCTCCCTTTCGCGACGGCCCTCGCCCCCCGCCCGGCGCGCGCACAAATACACACACACACACTCACTCAGCCGCACTCACACTCACGCCGCGCTCCGACAGCGCCTCACCTCTCGCTCCGCCCGGCCGGCCCCGTCCCTGCCCCCTGCGGGACCGGCCTGCGCGCAGCGCTGGAACCACGTAGGAGGCGGCGGCGGCGGCCGCGGGAGTGGCAGAGTCTCCGGCCCGGCCCAGAGTGAACGAGCAGCGGGGCTCCAGGGCGCATCCCAATCCCCGCAGCGCCTCCTCCTCCGCCGCCGCCACCTCCTCCTCCTTCCCCTCCTCCTGGCTTCATTCACCCTCCCAGCAGCCTCGCAGCCGTTCACTCGCGGCGCAGGGCAGCGCCTGTCGCGGCTCCTCCGCTCCTGCCGCGGGCGCCGGCGGGGGCACCGGCCCGGGCTGGGGCGCTCGCGGGCGGCGGCCGCACAGGATCAGGAAGCGGCAGCACCAACAGGGCGGCGGTGGCGGCGGCAGCCAGGGCCGCCACCGCCACTCCAGCCGCGCTCCCGGCACCCGCACGCCGGCTCCCCGCTGCGCGGTTCCCGCGGCCACCCCTCGACTGCCCCCGCCCGCCGCCCGGCCGCGCGCAGAGTCCCGGCCCGGCTGCCCGCGCGGTCCCCTCCCGGCCTGCAGCCGAACACCCGGCGAGGCCGGCCCCTGAGGGGAGACCCCCGCCCCGGGGCGCCGGGGCCGGGCGACCACTCGCAGGGAAGTCCGGCCCTCCCGGAGACCCCCTCGCTCTCGCCGCCCCCTCCGGGGAGGAGGAATGGAAGCGGGCGGCGGGGAAAGGGAGACCCGGGGCCGCCGCCGCCTCCCCCTGCGCCACCCAGAGGGAGGAGGACATGGCTCTGCACTCGCAGCCGGACCGGCAGCCGCTGGAGCCGGGCGCCGCCGCCGCTCAACCCCGCCTGCGCCCCCGGTCCGGGCGCGCCCCCTAGCCCGGCGGGAGCCCACCCGGCCCCGGCAGCCCCCCTGCCGGCCGCCCTTGCGCCCAGAGTGGGGGTGTCGGCCCGGCAGGCTGGACCCGGGACGGTTGTATGTATACACACACACACACACACACACACACACACACGCACACACCACGACGCGTCGCTTTCCTTCGCTCCTCTTCCAGCTGTTTTTCGTGCAGCCGATTGGGGTTTGGGGTTTGTTTGCTGGGTGATGTTTTTGCCCCTCTCGGGAGAGTGGGGGAGAAGGGATTTTAATCTAAATAGGGGGAGAAGGGGATGGGGGAGGGGGAGAGAAAGAATCAGAGGAGGAAAAAAATAGCCACTTACTGTAAAGTGTAAATGGATCTGGGGTTGCGTGGGGAAGGGGGGGGCAGAGGGAGAGAAACAATGTCTTGCGGCTGCTGTTGCTCTGGCTGCTGCTCCACGGGGCTTGTTTTGGATCCCCCTGCAGTGAAACAGGTCCTGTACGGCTCCGCCACTGTAGTAGAAATGATGTCTGCGGTATACTCTGCTCTCTCCTCCTCCTCCTCCTCCTCCTCCTCCCCCTCCTCCCGCTCCCCTCCCTCCCCTCCCCTCCCTCCGCCTGCCCGCCCTCCCTCGCGCTCTCTCGCGCTCGCTCGCTCGCTCGCTCCAGTATGTAAATGTGTAATAGAAGCCAAATATGGAGCAGTTGGCTGCCGCCGCCGCAGCTCAAGGATCCGACTTCACTGGGCGGGGGGCGGGGGCACCCTCTGGCGGGCGGCCCGGCGAGCCGCACGGAGCGCCGCGAGCGCACAGCGCGGCGCCCGGCCCGCGCCCTTAACCCTTCGGTGCGCGCCGCGCGGGGAGGCGGCCCCGGGGAGGCGCGCGCCGCTCGCGGAGAGCGGCTCGGGGTGGCGTGGGGGCAGGGGAGGCGCGGGCTGGAGGGCACAGTTCCTTCCAGGTTTGGGAAAGGGGCGGGAGCCGAGGCGATGAGGTAATTTGAGCGGTGACCGGTCGGTCCTCGCGCGCCTCCCTCCGTCCCTGCACCTACTGGAAGGGGACGGAGCGACAGCGGGGTGCAACTCAGGCAACCTGGGGGACTCCCCCAGGGGGTGTCGGGCTTCAGCTCCGAGCCTGTGAAAGCCCCAGAGCGGAGGCGAGGTCGGCCGGTTCTAATCCCGGCGTGCCCTCGGTGCCGGGCGCTCGGGCAAGCGTCTGAGGGGGCTCACTCTGATCGTCCGCTGCACCTTAACCCTCGAACCGGGGGCGCCCCGGCGTTCCCGAGCCCCGGCGCGGGGCCCGCGGGGACCGCCGCCGCCTGCAACTCGGGAAAGTTTCAAGGGTCCCCGCGCTGCACATGCACCCTCACCTTTCCAGCCCGCGAAAAGAAAGCCGGCCGTCCTCCCTCCTTTCTCTTTCCGCAGGTCCGGAAATCTGCTTCGGGCATTGAACTCCTCAGCTCTATCCTTGACAGAAGACCCGCGCGCTCCTCTCGCAGCTAATTTGGGATCATTAATTTAATCGGAAATGAGGTAACCAGTGTAGGAGACGGGGAAAGCAAACCGAGCATCAAATGGCAGTTCCCGAGAATCCACGCCGGGGAACTTCCTCCGGACTTGATTTTCAAGTGGGGTCCTCCACTCCCCTCAACCCGTCCCCTCCGCCCGTGCCCCCGCCAGGTGTGAGGGAATCTTCTTCGGAGGGGTGCACCTTGCCAACAGGTGTGGCACCTGAAGGAAGAGAAGGCACGTCTATCCAGAGGGAGCTCGGTGCTGCGTTCTCCTTGTTGCAGATAATTCTGGAAGCCCGGGAGGTGTCGGGGCGGCATTTGACCTCCTTCAGGTGCTTAGAACTAAGCGTCTAGAAACATGATCCCTCTGCGTACAATTTCTCTCTGGAAGCCGCCACTATTGACTGTAAGCTATCTTTGAGAGACCTTTTGGCTGGGCTTACTTATGACCTAACGGTTGGTCACCAACTGAAGCAGGACACAGAATCACCACGAGAAGTGTGTCCGTTCTTAAACAACTCTGCATTGTACAGCTAACGTGCTTCGGAAATAAAAATAAGCAGACAAATGAGGAAGGTGTGGAGCCCCGGAAATATTTTTTTCTCACATTTTGAAATACCATGCACATATACATGGCTATTTAAATAGAACTACTACTGTTCACTTTGACTCGTTTCTACCACTTTTTTTATTTTTTTCATTTAAAAATCAATGATTGTTACGGCTTAAAACCTCGGGTTGGTCTGAAGTGACATTGTTGGTCTCATTACAGCCTCTAGTGGACAGCTAACATTAGTTTCCTGAAAAGGCTCTGCCTGATTTTGTTTTGTTGACAAGATTTGTCAAGGTGAAGGTTAATATTTCAGAGCACAATCGGGTACTATCTCTTCCCACCCCCCACTTGGCAAAGCCGGCTTCTGAAAGAAGCAGAAGCTCGTTGACTCTGCGTGGAAAAGACGTATGCTTTGTGCTGCAGGTATTATTATTACTGGCCTGTGAATAAACAGAGAGCTTCTGCTATTCATTTCAGTTTTAGACAGCTTTCATAAAAACTAAATTCATCTAAAATATTTTTATAACAGAAAATATTGGTTGCCATGTTTTTGGCTTAACTGAGATGTTTTTATTCCAACTCATAATCTGCAAACTGTCCAATCCACCTCCACTCTATTTTTAGACGTCTTACATTTAGAGAATTTTCAGTAAAAAAAAAAAAAAAGAACTAATATTGTAATTATTACATTGGCACGAGCAGTTAATTTACGTTATTTTAACAACCTTAAACAAATTAAAATACATAATTCAGATTAGAGTTCGTCAATTAATTTAAATGTTCCCTCAAGGAAGCTAAATATGTATATTACCCAAACAGTAAAAACAAGTAATAAGAAATGTGTCATTTACTTTCGTAGCCATTAAGATTAAAGCCATAAACCATCCCTAAAATCTGTAACTATTTCTTCCTGCAAGGTCCAACATAAACACCATACTCATGAAACAGTTTCATTACGTTTTAGTACTAAAATGTTTTGTTTTCAGATGGCAAAATATTAACTGTACATTCACAAATAACAGACACGGATTCTTTAAAAACAAGACTTTCTCATGCAAATAAAAACTCAGTGAAAAAAGGGCAGAGCTTTCAAGAAGCCAGTAGGCAAGTACGTAGTACTATAGCCCTCACACACTTCATATTATATTTGTGCAAGCATTAGCCAACCTTTGAAATTAAAGAAATTGAGAAATAAGGCCTGTTGAGCCTTACTCTTAACCTGTGTTCTAGATTGCTTAAACACCATGAAAAATACTTTTAATCCCTTACATCTATTTTACTGTTTTCATGGTATCTACTCTTAAAGGTTTAAAATGAGTCAGCAAGTATATGTTATATCATGTAATTATATATTACACCCTCATTTCTTAAAGTGTAGTCCTCAGAGTAGCAGCAGCAGTGGCATGGAGAAGTTTTTTATACATTCAGAATCAAAGGTTCCACCCTAGACCTAATGAATCAGAATCTGCCTTTGAACCAGCCCCCTGGGTGATTCCTAAGAACATTATAGTGTGAAGGACACTGGTCTATACTACAGGGCTCAGCCTAGATGAATTTGGGCACAGGTGCAGAACTTAATTATTCTATTTTTTTCTCCCTTAGTATTAATACCTTTTATTAATTTGGGCTTTTCAATGAAAAATTATTACATCACATGCTTTGGATAAATCGAACTTCATTTCCGAGGAGCCCTGATTTATGCACAAATTTGCATCATCGCTGCCAAAAGGGAACACTCTGCTGAGGAATGTGGGGTCTTGAACGTTAATGTTTTCTTCGTGGCAGCAGAGGGAGCACAAGAGTGCTTAATAAGACCAGTGCACAAGGCCCTCCAAATTGTGACAGATTTTAAATCGTAGTGTATGTTTTCCTTTGGAAGTAGCCTGTTATGTAGTTCAAAACAAAGCAAAACGACCAAAACAAACAAGAAAACACAAACAGCTTACCAGGTTATAACAACTAAATAATTGAACAGATTGGAAGCTAAATCAAATAAAGATACACTTCTTCAGAGTTTTAGGCTTGAAATCTTAAAAAAGAAAAAAATGGACCTCTAAAGTCAAAAAGATGTCTTAGCTTTGTTGTAGTCAAAAATAAAGATAACACAATACAAAATAAGACAACTCTAAGAATAACTCCTATTTATCTAAAAATGGAATCAATTTACCCAATCCTACATCAGGTATGTTAATTTCATCTGAGGTCACACATATTGGTTAAAGTACATGCACTTTTTACCACTTGTTTTCACAATAATTTTAGGGGCCTGTCAATGCTTGTAGTGGTGAGAATTTAGGTTTCAATTATATCTATGTGGCATTTCATACTTTTCACATCTCTTTTGTATTAAACCCGCAAAAATCCCTTGAGACAGATAAGATTCGTAGTAAAAGCTAAGCCTCAAAAAGTTATGGAACCTGCTGCTTTCATAACATTGAGTCATTTAATTGTTTCAATAATCCTTTGAGGTGTTTGTAAATGGAGGAAATCATAGAGGTTAAAGCTCCAGTAGCATGTTTTTCACAGTTTTAAAGGTTTTTCAAATTTACTATCAGTGAATATTTGATAATTGAGTATTTAAAGAGATTAAGAAAAAGACTATGTCTTAATTCTCAAATTGCTTTTTATGTATTTATTACTTATTTACCAACAGCCATTTATTGCACGTCTCCACTCACTAGGCCCTAAGAATATAAAATTGAGGCAGACGTTTCAATCTGCAAGAAATTCAGAGCAAAACAAATCTTACTTTGGGGAAAATGTTAATTTTTATCATGGTGAAATACAAAGATTCATAGCTAATTGATCTGGCACCCTGCAGAATCTCATCAATCAGACTTCCAAATTTATGAGAATCAAATACTAGAATCATTGAAAATTTAGGAGGTGGGCAGGTAATTGTATCAGTCTTGAGCAAAATTTGACTTATAAGCTAATATTAATATTTCAAATGTGTAAAATTATAAAACAAAATGTAAAGCTATGTGTATTTTATCTGAATGTCTTCCCCATCAAAAAATTGTAAGAGTAAGTTAAAGTGGTAAACATTTATTTATTTTTATCATTTTTAAAGTGTTAAAAAGAATTTCCTCCCACACTAAAGAGGGTTTGCCAAGATTGTGCCTTGGAGCAATTTGTTATGGCTGTGTAATAAGTCCCGGAAAGTTTGAATTTTTAATGGAAATGCTGACAGAATAAAGAGGGTGCGATCCTACATATGTCATTTAAAAATCTGAGCAAACCATAGTGTGCTAGCAAAACAAATATATTTTCCTTAGATTACATCCCAAATAAAGCTGGCAAGACCAGAAAAGGAAAATAAACTAAAAACAAAAGTGAAAACCACTCACACAATAGACTGTGAGGTCAGCTTACCACACCCAGACTAAAGTCACTGGGCTCTGCACAGAATCTCTTAAGAACATGCTTATGACTCATCTGTCTTGACCCTCTACCAAACTGAAGCAGGACAGACTTCCTGGTAATAAAAATGACATCACCAATATGCAAGAGTGGAATCAAATTATTGTATTTAAACATCTTCCAACAACATAGGATTTAATAGTACCCACCTTTGGCTATTTCAAATAAGACTCTGTCTATGATTAAAAACAACTAAAGAGTACTTTCTTACAAGTCTGCACTATCCAATATGGCTATTGAACACTTTAAATGTAGTTAGGCCAAACTGAGATGTGCAGTGTGAAATATACCTCAGATTTTAAAGACTTGGCTAATATATATGTACATGCAGACACAACGTCTCAATAACTTTTGTATTGATTAAATGTTGAAATGAAAATATTCAGAGTATATTGGGTTAAATAAAACAGATTGTTAAGCTTCATTTTACCTGTCTCTTTTTACTTTTTTCTTAATGTGGCTTAATATAAAATTTAATATTATATTTAATAATTAATATTATATTTAATAATCTGTGTGGAACTGTTATAATATTTCTAATGGACAGCACTGATATAGATAATAGGGCTGTGGAGTCACAGGAATTAGTTTTAAGAACCCACAATTGGAGACCTTAGAATCCTAGCATGGCTCTCTGCAGTAGGTAGTAGATAACTTACTTTTCTATCTTCCTCAGGTTTTCCCCTTGCAATGTGTGACATGGACCTTTCCCTCTGTTGCCATGATCACTGAGACTAAACTGTCAGCAAATTTATAATCTGATTGGCAGATCTGGTATGGACCTGCAAAACAAAAATTTGTGAGGCTCATCTGTGACTTGGTCTTTTGGGGGACACTCTGGTATTCTGCCACCCTAGGAGGCTGATGGAAAACCTATGCTCTGTTTTAGAAAGCACAGGTATTCTAGAGTTACAGCTGGTTTTGCTGCTCATGGCCAAATGGTTTTGGGCTGATACCTTCTAGTGACAGATGGCTCAGGACATTGATAATGAAATGATATAATTTGCTGCTAAACAGGTGCAGTGGCTCCCACTTATAATCCCGACACTTTGGAAGGCTGAGTGGGGAGGATCATTTGAAGCCAGAAGTTTGAGAGCAGCCTGGGCAAAATAGCAAGACTCCATCTCCACAAAAAAAAATTTAAAAATTATCCAATTGTGGTGGCACACGTCTATGGTTCCAGCTAGTCAGGAGGCTAACGTGGAGGGAGGCTGAGGCAGGCAGGACAGCTTGAGCCTAGCAGTTTGAGTCTGCAGTAAGCTATGGTCATGCCACTGCATTCCAGTCTGGGCCACAGAGTAAGACTCTGTCTCTAAAATAATAATAATGATAATAATTTGCTACTTAACTAGAAAACACATCAAGGCCACCAAAAGGAAACACGTTTTTAAAAAAAACCTTTCAAATATATTTAGTACAATAGAATACTTTGAAAGAAAATGATATGGTTTTTAACCCTACCTATTTATTTTGCAGGCAAGACCTAGATATATTTTCATCAATGTAACTCTGACCAAGATTGAATGTAGGGCAAAAATATCATAATTTATGGGCTTAATCATCTAAAGAACATAGCTCTTCTTTCTTACGTGAAATGAAAACAGCTAACATTTTAAGGGTTAGAATGAGTGAGTTGAACTTTGCTTGGTATTGGCTGGGAGCATTTGGAAATCTATTAAAAGCATCTCATTAACAACTTGGCGTTTTGTTTCCTCAAAAGAAATACATTTTCCAAATTAAAATCAAAGCCAGAAGCCACCACTGTTTGAATTTAAGGTAGTGGCTGAGGGTGTCTTCACAATAAGGACACAGGCAACAACAGGCTATAAAAATAAACATCAGATTTTTATGGAAAGAATGAAGCAAAGTTCTTTGTTGTTCTAACTTCGTGACATTAAAATACATGGCTATAAGCTCTCTTAGTTACTTTATTTTTCTTGAGTCAATATTGGCCAGGAGAAGTTGATTTGAATGAGGGTCAGAGTTTAAGAAAATTATTTTGTGAGGAATTTACCAAGTTTACCCCAAAGAGGCAGAGTTGGAGAAAAAATGCATTGGCAAACTTTGCTTTTTGACATAAATAACTAGAGTTCACCAAGGAAACGACCCGTGTCAGGATTTCCGCGAGGGTTGTCAGGCAGTTTGATATTTGCAGAACCCCCTTCTGTCAGGCCTCTCCAAAGTTTAACTGCCGGGAGACCCAGGAAGCTCTCAAGACTGGTGACTGAAGATACTGATTTGCTTTGTGTTGGTGGCACAGACATGAAACGATCGCTCCTGCCGCAGATGCTTTCTGACAGGGCAGAATAATAGCTCTCCAGCTTAAACTGTAAATTACAAACAATCCCTCTTTAAGTACAAAATGAATGCACAGAATGGAAGACCCTGTCAGCTAGAATACAAGTAAATCAAGTAGAAGAAGACAAATTATTCAGTCTCAACCACTACAGCCAAATTTTTATTCTGCTAACTGTACTGTCACGGGAGAGCTTTTCTTCCTTGTCAGATGTTAAGAGAAATTAATACATCATAATTATAATGAATGTATGAGGCAAGGCCTGTGTCGCCTCTAAAAGCCAATCAAATTTCATGATCTGTTTCCCCACCCCCACCCCCAGTCCAGTTTAAAAGTTGTAGCTTCAATACCAGTAGTAAGAACAGGGGACTCCCAGCAGGCCCAGGGCTAGCTTTTCCTGCAGTCAATTTCAGGATTATATTGCTCCTCCCCTCGTCTCAGTACTTCCTTCTCCCCACTACCGTCTCCCCCCTCTGCCCAGCAATGAATCATCATGCCTTTAAAGAGATTTAGATGACCCAGTGTGAACTTTGCTGGCATCCTGGACATTCTTATGCCAAAAAAGGGGAGTTGCTCTTTGACAGAAATCTAGCCAGACCCGGATGCAGTTCTCAGAGGCAACAAGCTTGGGTGCCCCTGTGTATCTGGGAAGATCAACGAGGAGTTAATTTTCCTAGATGATGGTGGGGATTGAGAATTGCATATCTCAGTTCACCATCAGGTTTTTAAGAACCCAGTTTGGCCCTTTGTACAGAAAGGAATATATCAGAGAAAAAAATGTTGGCAGATCTCCTTATGCAATCAGGGCAAAGGAATTTATACCACATTCAGCCCTTTGATTTCTCCAGATCTGGCCGAGGGTGGGGTTTCCATATTTGTGCTTTGGCAAATGTGTCCAATAATTAACTCCTCCTGATATATGCTCCTAGTGTTCTTCCAGGTTGTCCTGTGCTTACTTGTGCATTTATTAAAACCAGAAACATTTTTTTTGCCCCTTCATTTTTTTTAATACTCTGAGTAATACAGGTTAAGTAGACAACATAGGCCTTGCCTTTAAAGTCTTTACACTTAAGGAGGCAAAGGGTGTATCACTGAAATAGCATTGAGCTGTAGTATTAATATATACTTTCTATATAGAAAGCCCTTTCTTTCTTCGCCCCCTCCCCTTTTTTGCATGGAGATTTTATCCTCATACTTTTGAGATCCGGCTTAAGCATCAACAGTTCCTGTGAAGTCTTTCTTGATTATCACAAGAATCTGTGGCTCTGACCAATGTGTGAGTCAGAGAAGTGCTATTTTCTTATTCTTTTTATTTATACAATATTTTTTTAAACCTCTAACCGAAAAAATCAGGGCCATAAGCACAGATGGAGAGAAGCCTCCTAAGTGAGAGCCTCTCTTATCGGAATACTTCCTGCTACTCCCAAACTCATTTGACCTCCACTTATAATTTTAGCATGCAACTGTTCTTCCTTTGTCTATTGCTGCAATTATGTGATTCTTCTCCACTGATCCGTTCTTCATGTGACTTCCCATTGCCCTCCGTTGTGAGTTGAATTGTGGCTCCCAAAAGATATACTGAAGTCCTGACCCTGGTATCTATGAGTGTGACTTCATTTAGGAGTAGAGTTTTTACAGATGTAATTAGTTAGGATGAGGTCTTTCTGGATTAGGATGGACTCTAAATCCAATGCAACTGTTGTCCTTGTAAGATGAGAAAACACAGACAAGATACAGGAAAGATGGTCACATGAAGACAAAGGCAGAGACTAGAATTATGCTGCCATAAGCCAGGGAATGCCAAGAATTGCTAGCAACTACCAGAAGCTAGAAGGGGTAAGGAAGGCCTCTCACCTAGAGCTTTTCAGAAAAAGCATGGCCCTGTGGACACCTTGATTTCAGGCTTCTCACCTCCAGAACTGGCAGAGAATAAATACCTGTTGTTTTAAGCAACTCAGTCTGTGGTACTTTGTTATAGCAGCTCTAGGAAACTAATGCGCCCTCCTTATGAGACCCGTGATTACAGGTCTGTTGCATTCTACTTTCTTCCCTTTATTTATATATATGGCCCTATCTCTTTCCTTGTAAGAAACTTGCAGATAATCTATTGTGGATGTATGTTTGGTCTTGCATCCATGACAATACCAATAAACAAAAGGACCGATGGAATTGGAAAACTATAGAGAGTTCTAGAACCACTTCCCCATCCTCCTAGAAACAACATCTTGCCCCTGGCCCCAGGCCTCAGGGGTGTCTGAGAGAGCACAGGTACAGTAAGTACAGTCCCCTGCTGGGCCACAGCCCTGCCTGAGATCAAAGGTCCTCCGCAGCCCTCCCTGGCTTCCTCTACTGGTGCCAGGATGCACCAGCAGCTTTCCTCTTCGGAAGTCGCATTTAGGTGTGTGGGGCTGGGGTGTAGAAGAGACAAAAAACTAAATCGTTTGGCATTGAGGAAATACATTGCCAAATGTTTGACTTTTTTTTTTTTTCTTTAACTATTCATTTGAATGTTACAAAAGTGCTTGTGAAAACCTTTCTGATTCTCATTTAAAGAACAACTAGAAGCTCACTTCAGGAAGTTTCCCTTAGCAGGCGGAAGGAGGCCTTACGCTCAAGCCCAGAATCCCAAGACATCTGTCCTATCAGAGTCACCATGAGAGGTATAACAACACATTTTTACATACAAATCTCAGGAAATGGCAACTCCATCCTTTCAGCTGTCCAGCCAATAAGCCACTGGCATCATCTTGACTCTTTTCTGTCTTTCATACCCCATGTGTGATCTGCCCAAAAATCCAGTTGGCTGTACCTTCAAAATACAGCCAGAATCTGACCATTTCTCACCACTGGGACTGCTACCATAGGAGCTACACCACGACTGTCCTTCTTAGGATGACTGCAGTAGCCTCCTAAGTTGTCTCTCTGCCCTGACTAAAACCAGCCTACACCACAATCTCATCTGCACCAGATGATGATGCCTCGGTTCTGCTCAGAACCTTTCCATGGCTCCTCATTCCACTCAGAGACAAGTGCAAGCCCTTCCACAGCCTACGAGGCCTCCTGCAATCAGGTCGCCCCCAGCCTTTCTGATCTCATCTACCACTGTCCTTGCTCCCACACCTCCAGCCTCACTGCCTTCTTTGCTGGTCTTCAAGCAAGCCAGGTGCTGTCTTGCCTCAGGGTCTTCCTACTGGCTGTTCCCTCAGCTTGCAATGCTTTTCCCTCTGGTAATTGACTTGGCTCACTCCTTTATCTTCAGTCTTTTTTGTAAGAAACAACCTCCCATTGAGGCCTGCTATGACCTCCCTACCTAAATAATATTCCCTGACTTTCCTGATGCACCTTGCCCTGCTCATTTATTCCGTAAATGTATTGCCTTATAGCATTCTATATATATATATGTCAAATACATCTACATGTCATTTACTTTTCTGGCTTGTTTATTATCAGGAAGGCAGGGACTTTTGTCAATCTTATTTCTCTAGAACAGTCCTTGGCACATGATAGACACCCACTAAGTATTCATTGATTATTAAATGAATTAACAAATTAATCAATAATATATTCTAGAATGTACTACGTGCAAATCCTTATCAGCTCCAACTCATGATTATCTCACTAGAAGCTAATCCAAAACAAATCCATCTTGTTCAAGTTATAGTACATGTTCCATTGGCTTGATTTTTGCCTTAATTATGTCTGGTATGACTATTAAAACTGAGTTGAAATGAACTCCTTAATTATGTCTGGTATGACTATTAAAACTGAGTTGAAATGAACTGAGTCTCACATTCAGGTTTTGCAGATGTCATTTCATTTATTCTCCACAATGATACAGTGATTTAGAGATCATGATCCCCACTACTTGTGTAATTAAACTGAGGCTTAGAGTTTAAAGGAACTGCCTAAGGTTCAAGATCACCCAGCATTGGTTTCAAGGTGAAGTTATCCACCTATGCAGCCTAAGAATGTTTAACAAGTCATTACTTAAATGAAATAGGACACTTAGCATCATAACACTACATTCCAATATTTTGGCCAAGAAACCATTTTTAATATCAATCTCTATTTTTTAGATTATATTTTTGAGTGAAAAATACATGTATCTCAGAAGTTACAGCTAGCGATTCTCATTGAGAATTGAGTAATTTCTCCATAAGCAAAATGGTTTCAGATCAACCTAAGTGGTTTTGCAACTAACAAAACTATATTCCAGCTTGTGATTTTTTACCCATGCTACTACATGGGCTGGAAAAATCTTGCCGTCTGTCTACAGCATCCCATTGTGATAAGGACTAAGTAGATTGTAAAGGACCAATGTTAATTCTCAAATGTATTTTAAGGACTTAATACTCTTCAGTTAGCCTGTGCTCAACTTCTCTTGTTCTACTCCCAACTCTCCCAGAGTCCTCTGTGACCAGAACCCAAGTATAGGGTCTGAAAGTAGCCTGGCTACACCGTAAGTGCAAAACACTGCAAGCTCTTTACAGCCTCACTTCGCTTTAAATTTAAGGGAAATGATCCTAGAAGCTGAAATAGACCAGAGTTCAACAGTCTGGGAAATTTGAAGGAGAAAAAAAAAAAGAAGAAGAAGAAGCCGTGCATTTGCAGAGATGTGAAGAGAACCCGGCTCTCTGAAGTTGGAAGGAAGTGAGAAGACCCTATTTGTGGCTGCAGGAGAGGAAAAGAAAAGAGCCCCGCAAGGAAACTACCAACAGATGGTAAATACATTTTTAATTCTTCTGTCATACTGTGTGGACTTGTGCACATTTGTCCTGCTGTGTTAGGCTCCCGAAATAGCTAGCCATGGAATTGCAGAACAGTTCTGCTGCAATTTGAGATTTAGGAAACCATGCTAGCTGACAAAACAGGAAGGGCTCATAGTAGGATGGAGTGGATTTGCTCTCAGTTTGCAGCTCCTCAGTGTGGCATCTGCTGTCATTCTTAGTGCAGGAAAATTCTCTCACATGTCAGGTCTCATTGGTGATGTTTTGAAACATACGATCTCAAATTGTCCTCCGAGCTCTAGTCGTAATTATTAAATGTTGACACTTTCCATATGATAACTCTCAAAGGTTAAAGAGAGTGAGATACATTTATGTATGAATCCTAAGTCCCCCAGGGAGTATCACAAACACATGTGACAGCCCAGAGTTCCTTACCTAGTCTTCCTCATACTAAAAAAGTTTTGGCATAATGTTCCCATAGAGCACCATGGGAATTACAATGCTAGAAAAAAGACGAGATATGATCATGGGCTGCTCTACAAGGAACCTAAAGAGGTAGTATGGTAAAGTTCATGCAGTAGACTTTGCAACTGAGAAGTGACAGGAGACTGGTAACAGGAAGAAGGGAGTTAGATTCCCAATCCCAATCCCAGTGCATCCATGAAAAGGAAAAAAAGCATTGATGAATACAACTTGAGGCACAATAATGAGGAGAGGGTGGCCTATTACTTAATCATAGTCCAAAAAATGTAACTATACTATACCATTTTATTAGAATTGGAAGGATGCTTAGAGAATCCAGTTCAATTTTTTATTTTATAGACAAGAATCTGGGCCAAAGAGTTCTAGGAAATTGGCAAAGATCATACAACTAGTTAGTGGCAAATTCAATACTGGAACCCAAGACATCTCTTTCTCTCTCTCTCTCAATCCTATGTTCTCCTCTAGCACTCACAGAAGGAGGGCACTGCTGTGATGAGCAAAATCCAATTCCAGAAGACTTTGATCGTGGCAGCTGTCACACTTGGGCTCTTATAAAGCCAAGAGGATGGAGTTTCTGCCTGGTCTGTGGGAGTCTGGGAAACTGATTGATATTCTTCATAGGTATGGTTTTGAGCTAAAATAGATTTGTTAATTTCTGTCCTAAACTCCTGTGGACTGTGTCTAGATTATATAGCTACCATACTATTGGGCACAGCTGGGCCCCTCTTTTCATGAACTAGCAGGGAAGACTGATAGATGAGGATTAAAAAGCTTTGGCTGAAGGGAACAGGGAGCCTTTCACAATTCCTTCCCACCCAGAGCCTTCCCCGTCTGAGAATTCTCCCAGCCTCTTCTGGAGAGAGGGGAGGGGTAGGTGGGAACAAAGGGGATTTTTATCTTCTTAGTAAAAGAAAGGATAACAAAAACATTTTAGCACTGCTCAATTGGATGAGATCTCGATTTCACATAGTTTAAGTTTCTACAAAATGACTTATATATTCGTAGATAACTTTTCAAATGAGTACATATGTAGTTGATTAATAAAAACTCTTCTCAGTCAGCTATGTTAAAAAAATATTCTTCTTTTCTGTTTTCTAGACAGTTCATCAGTAAGCTCCTCAATAGTTAGTTTAGCAATTAAGTTCTCCTAAATTTTGCAATTCTATTCAGCACTTTGATTTGTAGTTTTGCATATGCTTTCAGCAGTATTTTTTCCTATTTTTGTGGTGGAAAAAATTTCACTTGTCGTGTTCACACATGGCATTCTTTGTTTTAGAATTAATCTGACCATTTTGAATATTCTTATAAGTTTACTGTCTATCTCCATGGTCTAATAACATATTTGGGGGTAGGGAAGGATAAGAATTGTCTTAAGTGAATTATTTTCGGTAGAGCAGTAATGAAGGCACACTCTAGGTTATTTCATTCCTGTGATCCAAATTTGATTATCTAGCTAATATCACCCGGGACATTTGAAGCTTTAATAATTACAGCTCAAGGCCTTGGAAAAAAAAAAAAAAGAAAGAAAGAAAAAAAATTACGTTTACTACACATTCACACAGCTTTTCGGAGATTTACCATCTAAGAGCCTGTTTGGCTGCTTTAAAAAATAGATCCATATCAAGATTCCATTTTTAGAGTTCAAGCTCAGTTGACTCACTGTTTAAAACAAAAACAAAAGCTAGAATTAAACAATTGTTTTGTGTAGAAGGGTTTAGCATTGCTTATTTGAAAGAGCAAAAAACATAAGCTATTGATTTTACCCTTCCTTTTGGAGGACAGTTTCAAGATTTTTCCCCTGGAAAGTTTTGAGGCCATAATTCTTGCTAAAAGTGCCCTCTCCCATCATGTGCCAACACAGCTTTGAAGCTGTGCCTGCTTCTAGGTCAAGGGCTCTTTCTCTGTGGCCAGATGCCAGTTTTATCCTTAGATTCCTGTGATGCTCAGAAATAAATCAACTTTCCAATAAAATCCTCTGTCAGCTCTGTTTTACGTAAAAGTGGGTGGCCAGAGGATGTGATAGTCTTTTGCATTTTAGGTGGACAAGAAGGGAACGAAAGTATCCATTACCACTGAGAAACAAGTGGAGCCTCCACTGTGGAAGTCAGAGGGTGGCTTGGGGCCATGGCACTCACTCCTCCTAAAGCCTCTCCAACCCCAGCACGCGATGTTCACACAGAAGAGACACCACAATTACAAATGGCTGTGCAGGCACTAATCCACGTGCAGCTGGTCAATACCATCCATGAGTTGAAGAAGTGTGGAGCAGGTCAGCCCTCTGAGGTCAATATTTCTTCCTTGTAGCGAGAAAAGAAACAATTGAACAAATTACACACAACAACATGGATGAGTCTCATAATGTTGGAAAATATAAATGAGGCTAGACATAAAAATAATGCTTGCTGTGTTGTTCCATTTGTATAAAGTTCAAAAATATACAAAACTAATCTATTACCTATAACAGTTTACCTTTGATGAGGAGAGAGAGGATTGGGATTAAAAGTGGGCATGGACGATGGCTTCTAGGGTGCTAGAACATCCTGTCTTGACCTGGGTCCTATCTTGACTTTGTGATAATACATTAAGCCTGTGAGCTATGTGCTTTAAGGATGATTTACTTAAATTAAAAAGTTTAAAAATAACATCCTCATTGGTCAAGATAATTTGTATTAGAATATATTAGAATATATAGCATTTTGCCTAATTAAACTAATAGATATTTATTATAGAGAAAAATAGAAAATTCAGGTAAATTCAAGAAAAAAATTACATAAAACTCCATTGTAGAATGATGGAAACTCTCTTGCACTGCTACAGGGAGTGTTAATTCCAACAGTTCTTGGTTAACTGTTTGGTATTATCTACTAAAGTGAAAGATATGCATCCAATGACCCAGATTTCTACCCCTGGGTATATATCCAATGGAAATATGTATATGTGAGCACGAATAGCAACTGTATACATAACAACCCTAAACTGAAAATAAGCCAAAATATCAATAGCAAAGTAGGTAAGTAAGTAAAGTGCATATATTCAACCTTGTAATACCACATAGCACTAAAAATGAATGAACCACAAAACCCTCAGCAACGTGGATGAAACTTAGAAAACTAATGATGAGAGACAAAAAAAATCATACATGCCCATGCACGGTACTTAGAGTTCATAAATCGGGAAAAATATAGTACTTAGAAATACATACTTAGTGAAACAATAAAACAAAGCAAAGCAAAAAAAAAAAAAAAAAGATTAGCATAGCAGTAAAGGCAATGGTCACCTCTTGGGGGAAGGTGGGCTGTGATTGGGAAGCAGTAGAGGGAGAGCTTCCGCCATGCTCTATGTCTTGACCTGAGTCAATCATGCATTTTTCCAAATGTGTATTTCATAATAAAAAGAGCATTAAAAAATCACATGAAACCCAATTATTCGGAGATAGTTATCAATCGAACACCTTGATCCATATACTTCCACATCTTCTTTACTGCAATATAGACATTCTGTCCACATGGGTTTGTAGCCTTTAATTTTTGTTGTTGTTGTTGTTGTTTTTGCTAATGATATGCCCTCCTGGCAGAATTCCTCTTTGGGTTTTTTTTTCCCCCCCTGCATTTCCATTTCATTTTAACTAAGAGTAAATATTATATAAGCTTTATACCCCTCTGGAAGCCTAAAGCCTAAATATTATATAAGCTTTATACCCCTCTGAAAGCCATGGAGTGGCTTTCAGGAAATTAGGTTGCTTTAGCCTAAGCTACATTGATTCATAAACCAATCTACAGGATTTTGCCGTAGCTCATGGGAGACTTTTCCTTCTCTGTTAATAATGCCGCTGCTTCAAAAGAGAAAAGCCTCTTTCTGCTTCTTCAGAATGTTATCTTTTCAAAATGAAAGGCTGGGCGATGAGGAGGGAAGGCCGGTGGAGAGGGGCCAGGAGGGTTGAGGCAGGGGAGGAAATCATCTTAAAACTGGTCACAATAGGTGCCATGCTGAGCTCATGGTGACCCTGTCCCAGGCAACAACATGAAGCAGATTTTTGAAGTGATCTAGGGATTTAAAAAAAACAACTCCACAGTAGTTCTATTGCTTTTTGTTGTTCCTGGGATCGGGCCAGTGTGCTTCCCTTTAGCTAGCACACCCTTCCCTTCCCTTCCCCTTTGCCCCATCTCCAAGCACTCTCCCTGTTTGTCATCGCTTTCATCATCTTAGCCATTACATGGTGGAAGAACCCTTCCATGAGCATGCAAGCCTGGTGGTGACGCCACGAGAGCTCCATGGCACCCTGTCCTTACCCCATCACAGCATTCACCAGCCAATTCTGAAATTGCTTATTTTCTTATCTGCAAATAATTGGCTAATCTGTAAGCTCCATGCACTCAGGTCATTGTCTGTTTCACCATTGTTTTAATTCTAGGCCCTACTGCATTTGGCACTTAATAAATATGTTCATTGGATGAATGAAAGACAGTGTGAAGTGAGATGGACTTGAGGTGGGCAGGGTTTTAAACCATGCTTCTCCAGCTCTCTCCACCTGCAGAGCTCAGATGGCTTCAGGTGATCCGACCCGAAGGAATATATTCCAATATGAGATGGTACACCATTCTAAAATCCAGAACTGTTCAGTTTCAAATACTTACCAGTAATAGAGTTTGCATTTGTATACTGTACTGTATGGATGAGGGGAAATTCGCCCTTTCCCCCAAAAGTTCACTGAAAGATCAACTCACAATTAAGGCAGATTAATATGAGAAAGGTTTATTTAACATGTGCATGGGGAGAATCACAGAGTGATTACTCAACATCCCAATGAAGTTCAGCCTTCTTGGAGGGAAGGGGAAATGAGAAGGGCAGGTAATTCTGTTTAGGGTGACAAATGGTGCTACAGAGGACAAATGGATGGGGAGACAGATTGACTCTAAATGATGCTCTTTGCAAATTGAATTAATCTGAGAGACAGGTATTATATTTAAATGATTTGGGCCAGGTCTGGTTGCATTCTTCACTGTTTTTTGGTTTGTTTGTTTTTCTGCAATACACTGAGGTAACAGGGAGAGGAAGGAAAGTCCATTGTTGTTTTGTTTTGTTTTGTTTTGTTTTGTTTTGTTTTGTTTTGTTTTGCAAGGGCCTGTTAATCTCTAAGGGCCTTAATTCAAAATATCAAGGAGTCATATTTTGGGGTGAAATTTCCTGAGCTCCTTCATTCCCCCAGTCTGGAACTTCCCTAGAAGTTTCACATATTGACAACTGAGTCAGTGGCTGTGGAGAGAAGGCTCTGGTTAGTAGTCAAGGAACAAGAGATCTGAACAAGAAGACAAGAACATAGATTAGAATGTTGAGAATGAGAATGTATGAGAATAAATAAGTAGAAAAGAACAGATTTCCCCGCACTCCATTAAACCAGTCTCCTGTTCTTGGGAACAGGTCTTCATCAATCTGATGGAGGATATTTATCTTTTCTTTTAAGAGGTGTAGATCACAGTCTCTGCTTGCCCTGTGTGGTTTTACATAGAAATAGCATTTTTTTCACCAATAATCATACAAGCTCCTCCCTGCTGGGCTGTCAGGGCATCCGGGAGGCAGCAGTTTTCAAATACAACAGAGGCGAGGCTGTTGACTTCTAACTGAAGTGCTCCCAATGCTTGCATGGTGATGTTGAACTCTTTTTCTGTTACTACGGAGAGATTCAAAATACTGCCTTTTTAATCTCATGAGTCCCAAATGCTGGGCAAAGAGTCTTGAGTACCAAAAAGAACTTAGAATTCTGATATACAAGTGTTTTTTTTTTTTTTTTTAAATAACATGTCTAGTATGTTTGCTTGGTACCACTTTATGAACAAAAGAGCCCAAGTTCATAATTTGGCTGCCATTTCAAGTGGAGTACCTGGCAACAGAAGGTGTCAGATAACCAAGTCCAAGGCATCCTGATCATCTAGGTGAGAACCACTTGTGTACTTGATAGCCACATGCAATAAAAAGACCAGTGTTATTTACAGATAATGTCAGGTTGGAACCTGTGACCTCCCAGTCTGAAGTTTGCTGTGCCTCTTCTTCCTCATGGCACTTCTTCTACACCTCCGGTTTCCATGTGTTCCTGCCAGTCTGTGGGAACAGAACAGGTTGCAAAATATTTGATATAAAACACCATTGATCTGCTTTGGCTGTTATAGAGCTTGGTTTTGTCACCTAACCAAGTCAGTCCAGACTTGGTCTGTCCATATATAGTGTCTGGCAACTTAACAAGGGGGAGTGAGTGAACGACCCCAAGTTGCACAGACCTGGCTTGTGAGCCGTTTATAACATCTGGTGGTTTGATGATCTTTGACATCATAAGGGTTAGTGTCAGCACCATCTAAGAGGTGCAAGAATGCCATCTGTGGAATCAAACTGTAGAGTCTGATCACAATATTGCCCTAGTATGTCACCCAGAAAAGATCTAGCATCATCCCTGTTTTAAATGCAGAGGGAAAAATTCCTTGCTAGTGACTTTACCTGAGTAAAACATAGTTCTTGAGCTTCTAGAGCTTTTTCTGCGTCCAGTTGACTCACCAGCAGGAGAAGCAGCATGACATATTTTCTCTGGTTGTGGATGCCACATGTTGTTATGCATCCGTCTTCTGGAATGCTTCCACCAGGCACTTACATTGGCAGAAATAAACGTGAGTTCAGGTTTCTTTGCATTGTCTACATGTTGGCATAAACAGCAACTAGACTGATCAGTTAGCCTGGCCAGGGTTTGAAGACCGGTGTGAAAGGATGGCGGGTCTGGGCCTGACCTGCTGGAAAAACAGTGAGGGTCAGTAAGAGTAAGGCATCGTCTGAAAGAAGGGTCATAGTGGAAGAGAAAAGGGAGAGTGGGGTAGGTCGAAGTAATCTCCCCTCAGTTTCCAATGTGTAGTCCTTAAAAGGTGGCGGCTAAAAGGAAGAAGGGTTTAAAAAGGACCATTTTTGTGGGGGGGGGGGATAAAAAAAGGATTTTAGATGAAAGATGGAGTTCTTGATGACTTTTGGGGAAGAGTCATCTACCGTGTTTCCCTGAAAGTAAGACAGGGTCTTATGTTTATTTTTCCTCAAGAAGAAACCCTAGGGCTTATTTTCTGGGCATGTGTTATTTTCCCCTCAAAGCCTCAGCTTGCAGCACACACAGGATGGCCGGAACCTGACAGGGGGAGCCGACCTTGTTGGTGGGGCTGCCCGCACCTTTCTGGTCACCTCAGGGATAGTAGCTGTCACGATGGGGCAGAGGAGAAGGGCTGCTCATCTTCTTTAAGGCTCCGTGACAAAATGCATGGGTTGTGCAGATATGCTGCGTAGCCGCGCCCATCACTAGGTCTTATTTTCGGGGTAGAGCTTATATTGTGCCAATGCTTAGAAATCCTGCTAGGGCTTATTTTATGGGTAGGTCTTATTTTCGGGGAAACTCGGTAATACATGAAGACGTCTGCTTTGGGGGCCTGGGATCCAGCCTTGGAAATACTTCCTTTCAGGTCACCTATAGGGGTCATCCTCCGATTGTCTCCGTGTAGGTTGGCAGGATTTTTCTTTTATCTTTATGGCAGCATAGTGCTTTATAACAGTGCTTTATAAGAGCCTTCGCAACAAGGTGACAGCACGTGTCTTCTTCGAAACACTTTGATGGACACATGATCTCCTGGTCAAACAGGATGACAAGGTCAGTTGGTGGAAGCCATGGTCCTTTCACCTGTCTACGATATACTCCAAGCATAGTTAGCACCTATGTGCAGCTGGTCGTGGTATCAAATTGTTTACTTAAACCTCCATAGTGTTCAGTCAGTCCGGGAATAGGTTTATAGGTGTCCATAGGCAGAGGTGACAGAACACTATTTCAAAAGGGGGTTAAACTATGTCTCCTAATTGGAACATTCCAGATTTTTATAAGGGCCAAAGGTAATGCTTTTGGCCATTTAATTCGGTGTTTTGATAGACTTATCTCAAAGTCCTTTTTATTTTGAGATTTTTACATTCCACTTGCCCTGGGGATTGGGGATGATATGGGATATGAAATTTTAACAAATACCCCAGAAACTTCCCAAGCAAATGGTCTATTTCTACTGTAAAATGACTCCCTTGATCTGACTCAATCCATAAAGGAATACATTTAGTTACTAATTTCTTTGCCACTGTTGTAGCGTCAGCACTCCTAGCTGGATAGCATGCAATCTCTCCACTGATCATGTAAGCAATAACCAAACAGTGAGAAAAGCCTAAAGCTGGAGATAAATATATAAAATCAATTCGGAGAGCCAAAAAGGGATAGTCTGAGCCATTGGGGGCCAGTTTCCTCCAGAGATTTGGTGAGATTTTTAACTAGTGCACTGGCTGGGAAATAATTTGGTCAGAGATATTATAGTTTCCAGGACAGTACCAACTATATATACATATTTTTTTTTCTTAATTATCCCCCATTTGCACATATGTCTTATGTGATGGAAGACAAGTACAAGTAAAAAAAGTTAAAAGGAAAGGGGACACAGGGACCCTGTTTGACCTAATATACAATCTATCTGATATGATAGTACCTACATTGGCAATAAGAGTATCAGCAGAAATTAAGAAATGAGATTTTCAAATTTTGCCAGCAGTTGCAATGAGAGAGCACTGGACAACAGGTCCAACAGATATCTCACTTGGACTCTTGGTGCTCTTGGGGGAAGTCTCTGGAAGCTCTATCTTAGAACTCACTTTTGTTAAAAATTAAGCATCACAGAGTTATAATTGAGCAAAGAGCAATTCACAAATCGGGCAGATTTGTTCTTGTTCTCTTGAACCAGAACTTGTTCTCTCTGAACCAGAACAAGTTCAGAGAGACTCTAATGCTGCAGTGTGGGTGTGGTTGAAGAAGAGTGATGGACAGAAAAGAGAAAGAGACGACAGAGAATGGGAGTTAAGTGTAGAAACAGCTGGATTGGCTACCGCTCAGCATTTGCCTTGCTTGTATACAGTTTGAACAGCTGGCTGCCTTTTATTGGCTCAAACTCCACGATTGGCAAAGAGGAATGAGTAGAAAAGAGTGGAGGTGAATGGAGCAAACTTTAGCCAGGACAAACAGCTGACATTTTTACTTTTGAACGTTTAAACTAAAATATCCTTTTACATGAAACCAGCAAGCCTTAACTAAGGTCACAATCAAGGAAGACAGAGGTGTTTTTAAAGAGGTGAAGAACAGTTTTTATGAGATCCAGAAAAGCCACAAAAGCAACTCAAAGAAAGAAAAGACTCAATAGCCATAAACAAGGTAAAACTCACAATTTTTGTCCAGTTATATTTTCTAGGGTCCCAGTTTTTCAGCTGACCACTTATACATAAATATCTAAAAGCCCCGTATGCCTCCACAGAAAAAGCTGTGCACAGAAGGGAAGAGAACCAGTGACTGGAAGAAGTTACACAAGTATCAAACCAGAACAGGCTCATTCCCTGTCCAGGAATCAAACCCGGGTTGCTGAGGTGCAAATATAGGACCTTAACCATCAGGCTGCAAGGTAAGTTGGCCTATCCCATTATTGCCACAAGAATAGTGTTCAAAGGATTTTTATCTTTGTTTCAGATTAGATATGCACTCTTCAATTTTCCCAAGAGAATTTGTAAGACTAGCCACAATGTTAGTGTCTTTCTTTTAATCTAATTTCTCTGTTACTACAAATAAAGCAATCGTTTTGAATAAGAGATCTCTAAAATTTATTTTTAAAAATCTAGAGGTCTTTTAATTTAAAGGATCCATCTCTTGGCCATTGATCTCAATGGTATATTTATTCCAGAAGCAACTCAATCCGATGCCTCGTCATAGAAAGCCCAAGTGGTAATTTTTCAGGTTTAGCCTACAGAGGGCACGGAGAAGGCAGTTTCCGAGATTCCCAAAAATTCACTCTCAGAAATAGACAAGGTAACAAAGAGGGTAGGACAGTGTAAGACAAAGACTTCCCCTAGAGCTTGACACATTCAGTACAAAAAGTGTGCTGCTCAGAATCTTCTGTGTCTCAGACCCTCAATCTTTTCAGATTGGCCACCTGACATGCTCTCCAAAATACACCCTCCCCTCCCCCAGATTACAGAGACGATTCCCACCCAGTCACAAAACAAGCTCAGGGAAAAATGACAGGACGAGAGGGAAACCTCAATTTTTTTTTTTAGGGACCTGCAGCAAAGTTTGTCTTCCTAGACGCCAGTCTAGTCAAAACCGTGTAGCTGGCTAGCCTGCAAGGCTGGCTCAAATGTTGAGCTGTGGAGGTGCTAGGCCTGTGTTCTACCCTATGGTCACCCACTTTATGGCAGAACAACACGGAAGGACAACAACAAAAGAAAGCAACAGCAACAGCAACAGCAACAAAAAGGCTATTTCTGAGAGGAGAGGTTATCAGACAATATGAATATTCATACCACAAAATACCAAAAAATCTGCCGATACCAGAGTTGCTTTACAAAGAATAGTCCCTCACAAAAACCTTGCTGTTCAATAATCTTAAATTTGGAAAGGACAGTGATCTTTTAGGGTCTGCTCAACTGGAGCCCACAGACAGAGGAAAACCGGGAGTCTGACTGGTGAGTAAGGTATACTATCTCACCGTGTTGCCCGCTGGGCAGAGTTCCGATTTCCCTCACTGTGGCTTTCAGGAGAGCAGAGTGGCTTGGAGATCCTGCCAGATATGACAAACTGTGGGGGTGAGGGGAAGCTTGCCCTTTCCCCCGAAAGTTGACTGAAAGATCAACTCACAATTAAGGCAGATTAATAGGAGAAAGTTTTATTTACCAATACCATGTGCATGGGGAGAATCACAGAGTGATTACTCAGCATCCCAGGGAAGTTCAGATGTTTTTATACCTGTCTTTTGGGAGGGGAGGGGAAATGAGGAGTGCAGGTAATTCTGTTTAGGGGTGACAAATGGTGCTGGGGAAGACAAATGGACGGGAAGGCAGATTGACTTGTAAATGATCCTCTTTGCATATTAAATTAATCTGAGAGACAGGTATTATATTTAAATGATTTGGGCCAGGTCTGATCGCATCCTTGATCATTTGTTTTCCCTGCAATATACTGAGATAACAGAGAGAGGAAGAGAAATCCATTGTTCCTTTCCAAGGGCCTGTTAATCTCAAAGGGCCTTAATAAGGCATCATATTTGGGGACGAAATTTCCTGAGCACCTTCAACTGTTTGACATTTCATTAAGCAAGTGTCACTTATCATCTCGTACAATTCCAATGATAAATCCTCTGAGGTAAACTGGGAAGATGTTAATATCACCATTTTGCAGATTGGGAAATTGTCCAAGAAAGGTCAAGTAACTAGAGTCCCACATCCTATGATTAGTTTTTAGTGCAAGCCAAGGACTAGTGACCCCTTAGGTGCTGGAAGGGGAAGCATGTAGACTGACTACTACAGACACATATTTTCAGGTACCAGGGACGTTAAATACATATGTGACACTATTCTGATTTCTTTATCTTCAGTAGATATGTCTTAACTGTTGGAGTATACCAGGAAGGAAAGGTAAGAAGTCACGTGTTCTTGGCCTCCCTTATTAGACAGTAGTTGAAAGACATTAACCTGGACTAACACAAAAGCATTTCTTTGGGTGCTATCAATGGGGAAAATGGTTTGGGCCCTGATCTTGCCCCTTCTATTCTCTGAACATAATCTCGTTTTCTTGTGGGGGTCTTGGCAGAAGAAATGCAGTAGGACAATGGGGGTGGAGGAGGAGAAATAGAAAGGGAAGACACAACAACGGCAAGTGTCAGGCAGGTGAGAGAGGTGAAGAGCCATGGGGTGGGGCCAGGGAAGGACAGCGAGTGTGGACTCTCTGAGTTCTGCTGCTCTGGAGAATCAGCAGCAGCAGCAGCAGCACCTGGGATCGTGTTAGAAATTTAGAATCTCAGCTCCCAACTCAGACACACCCAATCAGATTCCGTATTTTAACAAGATCCCCAGGTAATTCCTATGCACATAAAGCTTGAGAGGCGCATAGTTGCCCCCAACCAGTCTGAGCCAGTCCTGAGCAGTGTCATCAGCCTCAGACCTATTAATAGATGAAACTGGTTTGGTTGCCTAGAGACCTGGAAATCTGGTCGCTCCATGTAGACTCTGAGTCTCAGTATTCTCTTACCACTTTGGCCAAAGACTTGTGACTCCTGATCTGCCTCAGTTTCTCTGCTAAGCATTTCAGTTCTCTGCATGGGTTGGATCCTTGTCATGGACCCCAGCTCCTTGGCTTGGGTCTTGATTCCCTGCCAAATTATGGCTCTCTCCCCTTCCCTTGGGTAGCAGGATGTGATTTCCTATTCCCTTGGCAGCTCCTGGCCAGCGGGCTGCTGTGACTGGACTGACCACCTGAAACCCTGGCTGATTTGGAGCATTGTCACCTGGACTTCTTCCAGAACTGTGCTCTGTTGGTGGATAGGACTCATTCAGATGTCCACATAGCCTGGCCCTCTGACCTAGTCACACCCTTCGCCAGCTACACGCTGGCCTGCTTGGCTGCCCTCTGGAGATGGGTCAGCTTCTGAGGACAAGCTCCATCCCCTCTGTCCCACTGGTTCTTGGTTTTTCCTCCTTCCCACGGGCCTGTGTTGATGTGGTCCTATACTGCCCTGAACCCATGTCTCCTGCAAAAGATGAGGAGGCCACAGACCCTTCTCTTGCTTAACATCTATGACTCCAGGACTCCATTGGCCTGTTTCTCTGTAGGCCTTGAAATTCTGAAGACTTCCCTTGTAGCTCTTTAGGTAAAAGTTCTTCTAAAAGTCCTAGATGACTATTGGTACAAACAGGATCAATGGTTTTGCATAACTTGCATTTTGGCCCTTTTTCCAAGGTGGAGAAAAACTTCTCTGTGCTTGTTTTACAAAAAACAAAGCCAATCCATAAAGAAGCTCAATAATTTCTCTAGTTATCATATAACCATTTCACTTTGACTGTTGGTATTGTACCTCCTGCCATGCTCAATTTGTGGTGGTACATTCTACAAAGTATATCACATCTGCTGTGTTTTAAGCCAGCACAAAATGGCATGAAGTTCAAAATGATCAGGTTGGCTCTCAGTTATGGAGGCAAGTTTTTAAGTGAATTTTGCTTTCCATTGGTGAATAACAGAGCACTGACTATTTCTTTAAGACTCTTGCATCATTTCTAGTCCTAAGAACTGTTCTTGCAGTGATCGAAAAAAAACAAAAAAAGGTAGAAGAAGGAAAAAAACAGAAAGAAAGAAGTGTGGCAGCACACACAGTAGCTAAGTAATGGTGTGGGTGTTGTTTCCATTATTTACATACATAACACTTTTCACAAGAATCCAAATGTCTTACAAAAGAAAATACAACACACATTGGAATAATGATTGGGTAACACAGTAAGATATAAAGAAAACAATTACCCAAAGGAAGATTTAAATCTGGCATAAATCATTTGCACAGAAAGAATGGATAAGTATCCCTTGACTCAATTTGCACATAGAAAGGTATGCACAGGCTGGTGTTTGCCACGTTCAGGAAAGAAACAATATGCAAACTAAAGATAAAAGATAGCAATATAAATATATCTAAAATCATTTGAATGAGAAATATATGCTATGTAATGAAGTCATTGAGTTAGCAGGAATGGATATATATATAATATAAATTTCTAAAGATAACTCTGGCTGAGCAAAATCAGAGGTCCTAGGAAGAAGTTACTCAAGGCTAGAAAGAGCCAATGGATAGAAAATATATATTATCATTAACTGTTTATGGCTCATTTTCATTGCATCTTTCTTAAGGTTCAAATATTTTCAGAATAGACTTTAACTGATAAATTATGAAGAAATTGTATTTGAAGTTTGTGTAAAAAAGAAAAAAAACTGCTTTGAGAGATATCATGAAAGTTCTCCTTTAGTTGCTTTCAGTTTTATGCCTGCTTTTTAGTCATTATTTGAACAAGCTTCCAACCAGCCACTCAAACTTTTGGAAAAAGGAAAACACAATACGGGGGTGAGGGGGTATACTCTTAGGAAAAATGGCAAAAAAATGTTACAAAAGCTTAAAACATGATTCTTCTTATTATCATATATAGAAGACCACATCACTACTAGTGCTATTACAACATCAGTATGTGTAGTTATAGTCAAACCAGGCAAGCCACTGAAAATTACCATGTCATTTGCCTTCTTTGTGTCTCTTTTGTTTTCACAAGTCACATAGTGAAATCAACAAATACTACATCAGCCCTCTAAGGATTCAGCTGTGGAAAAAGCTTCCACTTACTCATCTCTAGGGTGGCTATTATTAGCTCGCTTTGATTCTTTCATATGATACAAACCCAAGCTTACGAAGCTGTTTGTGTGCTGCTTTTGTCATATTCCTGCATGGGTATGACTATTGCTATGCAGTGCAAACTAAGATGATGTCATATTGAATTAGGGTGAGCCCTAAATGCAATAACTGATGTCCTTACAAGAAGGCCATGTGGAGACACAGGGACACATAGGGAGAAGATGGCCAGGTGAAGGCAGAGGCAGAATTGGAGTGAGGCAGCTGCAAACCAAGGAGAGCCCACGATGTCCAGCAACCACCAGAAGCTAGGAGAGAGGTTTATGCTATGAACTAAATGTTTATGTTCCCTCTAAAATTCATATCTTGAAATACTGACCCCCAACCTCCAATGTGATGATATTAGGAGGTGGGGCCTTTGGGAGGTATTTAGGTATCCACAAGACTCTTCATAAACATGATCAGTGCCTTTCTAAGAAGGGACACAAGAGAGATTGGTTTTTTCCTGGCCATGTGAGAATACAAGATGGCCATCTGCAAACTAAGAAGAGAGCCCTCACCAGACACTGGACCTGGGCTAGTGCTTTAATCTTGGACTTCACAGCCTCTCGAACTGCAAGAAATAAATATTTGTTGCTTAAGCCACTCTGTCTCTGGTATTCTGTTATAGCAGCCCTACCTGACTAAGGCAGCTTGGAACAGATTCTACCTGAGAGCCTTAGAAAGTGGGGTGTTACTGCCAAAACCTTGATTTTAAACTTCTAGCCTCCAGAACTTGAGAAGGTAAATTTCTGTTGTCTTAAGTTTGTAGTATTTTGTTATGGTGGCCCTGGGAAACTAATACAATGCTCAATCTCCAGATCGTGAAAATAAGTGAGTACTTTAAATTACACAGAGACTTAATATTAGCTTTCCCTTAAATGATGAAATTACGGAAAGGAAAGGCTACTTGTCACAATGATATGGCAAGTATGTGCCAAAGATGTGATTAAAAATTGGTCATTCTAGCATCACAAGGCGGGTATAACTGTAAAAGAATGCAAGGTTTAGGTAAAATGCACAAAGGCATAGATATCACATTTTAGAGTGAGGTAGGAGACTCTCACTTTGCAAAATTTGCAAAGGAGGTTGTCAAAAACTGATTACATGGTTTTATCTTACATGACTGATTTAAGCCCCTTGCATAAATCAAAGTACATTTAAAAATGAAAACGAGATGAGAAGGTTTTTTTTGTTTGTTTGTTTGTTTGTTTTTTGAGACAGGATCTCACTCTGTCACTGAGGCTAGAGTGCAGGGAAGTCATCATAGCTCACAACAACCTCAAACTCCTGGCCTCAAGTGATCCTCCCTCCTCGGCCTCCCAGAGTGCTGAGAATGCAGGCATGCGTTGAGAGGGTTGTTTTGTACAGAGTAGTCTGTGTGCTGGGCATATTTCCCCCCACCCTTCATCTTCTCGAGTCTATTAAGGGCAAAGAGAGGGTGAGAGGTTCTCTTGGAGCAGACATGGGCCATCTTAACATAGTAAACAGAACTCAACAAGAGAAAAGCTGGAGGTGGTACCAGATTCCTGGAGGCTGAGGGAAGAGTAAGTGCTTAGCCATACCCAGATGTATTTATTCATCCCTTCACAGGAAAATGCAAGGGAAAGATGCCCTGTGCTGAGGTATCACCAAAGAACTTGTACAATACCAGGCGAGGTAACTTTGAATACCAGGCCAGAGAACTCTGATGCTAGATCTTCACAAGAGTACCAAGCAGAGGAGAATTGTCCTGCTTCCCTTTGCTCGTCTTCCTTCTGGTACTCTGACCCCAGAGAAGTGTGAGGGGTTTATAAAGCTGAGGGTGGTGGGTGAGAAATCCCCTATTCTCAGGCTAATCTTACCCAACTGGGAGGCCTAGCTGGGGAGGGGAGGAGCCTAACTTCAAAACAAAATTGACTCTAGTTAATAATAATATATATTTTCAAATGGCAAGAAGAGAGGATATTGAATGTTCCCAACACAAAGAAATGATACATGTTTGAGGTAATAGATATGCTAATTACCCCAATCTGATCACTAAACATTGTATATAATGAAACATCACCGTGTACCTCATAAATATGTACAATTATTATGTGTCAATTATAAAATAAATAAAAAATTTAAAAACATAAATTAACCTTAAAACAAAAACAAAAAACAAAATGGACACTCTTAGTGTTACACGTATTCAGACATTTTAATTACTGACATTTTACTTAGGAAATCTTATTACCTAGAAGTGATCAGAGGAATGAAATTTGTTCTAAATGTCATTTAAGAGCAGAGCAAGAGTTAACGACATGGAATAAATTTAAAGTGTTGCTTTATGATTGATTACATCCTATGAGTCATGCTTGTTCAGTATAATAGTTATGTAACTATTTCTAAGTGAAATAAAATAGAACAATTCTTAGTTCCTCCTATATGTTTTTCCTCTATAAAGTCACTGCATTTCTGTCTGAACTTTAGAAAATTGCGTGTCAAATTGTCCTTACAGAGAATTTTGTCCTTTTTACTTATTGTTTATCAATACTTACGAGATGTCTAAAATGAAAAACGTTATATGCTTGGTACATACTATGCGCTCAATAAGTGTCGAATTAACAAATGAATGAACAGCAAAGAGAAACACTTATTGCCTAGGCTCTTTATAAACCTGGGATATACTCAAATCCTTTTCTGTTAGAGTAAAAATTACCCCAAGTTTGTGATTTCTGAGAAATTGCAACCAGACAGTTACACTCTCCTTATATGGAATTATAAAACCCCTAAGCATCAGAATGAAACTTAGGAGGTGATTTAGTCTAACCCCTTAATTTTATAGATGAAGGCTCAAAGAAGTTTATTAGTAATTTGATTAAGGTCACCTTTTTCAGTAGTGTCAGTGCCAGGCCCAGAGACTGATGCCTGACTCATTGGTAGTGACATTCCCCGGTTTCTGGGTTTCTTACCAGCTTGGCCTTGTTTGAGTGACAGTGTAAGCTCTCTTTGTTAGTTCTCTCCTCAGTAAGTGGAGAAGCTGCACCAAATCACCTTCACCTAATACACAAACATGAAGCATCTACTTGTGCTCAGGACCATACCATATACTTGGATAGACTGAGGAGGAGAACCAGCTACTGCCCTCAGGGAGCTTACAGTAATAGCCAAGTGGGGGAAAACAGATGAGAAAAAAACAGCTGTAACGAAGTGTGCTAGGTCATATGATAGAAGTAAACACAGGAAGCTGTGGAGACATTTAGAAAAGGTACCTGATCTAGACTTGAAACGTCATGGAGATCTGGTTATGGGATGTGACATCTAAGTTGAGTCCTGAGAATGAGGAGAGTTTAGTGAGCGTGGTGCATTCCGCAAACCCTAAGTACTGTACCAGGGAAATATCACTGAGTGCAAAGCAGAGGAAAGAGACTGGGCCAGCTAGATAAGCAGAAACCCAAACATGAAGGGATTTCAATGGTGTATTAAGGTGTGTAGACTGAATATAGTTAACCACAATACATAATATTCAATTGACTTAAAGCCAACCAGAAACTACTGGAGTATCTTTTGCAAGGGAACGATGAGGCCTAATTTCTGTGCCAGATGTATCCGTCTCGCTGTAGTATGGAGAATGGCTTTGACAGGGATAATGTAGGCAAAGAGGCCAGTTAAAAAAAATACTGAAATAATCCAGGAAAGAAAAATGACAGTAGAGATAGAAAAGACAGAAGAACTTCAAAGCAATATATTATAGTTTGAATTGTGTCCCCCACAAAATTCACTTGTTGAAGCCCTAAGCCTTAATGTATTAGGAATGGAGCCTTTGGAGATAATTAAATTTTGATGAGGTCATGGGATGGGGCCCTCATGATGGGATTATGCCTGTAGGGCAGAGGAATTTGTAGGATAGAGGAAGGGCAGAGGAATTCTTCCAATTGTCGGGAATTTACTTGGGTGGGGCAATGAGCTAACCGCAAACCTTTGCTTCTGGTCATTGCTTGCTTGCTACACCGCTGTAAGGGGAATTATGGGATGAGGTCATTGAAGCACGGGCGACTGGCCCATCAGGCAATAGAGGGCAACCAACCCGCCAATTATTTCAAAAGGCAATAGTGGGCAACCAATCATTTTAAAGGTCAACGCATGATCCATGCGTAGTCGGCTTGTGCGCAGCTTGTGCACCATGGGGATAAAAGGCATGCCGTTGTTCCGATCGGGGTCCTTGCCTGCGAGAGTGGCCACTGCGTTGGTGCTCTGGGGCTTGGACCCTGGCTAGCCAGAAAAT